TTTCCCATGCAGCCCCCGTCCAACCACCCCACACTGAAGGGCCTTGCTGGCACTCACCCTGGCTGTGGGTCAAATACAAGAGCTCACGCTCTTCAACATTCCCTAAAGGAAAAGCAGGGGACTGGGTAAACTCTTCGTGATCAGCACTGGGAGATCAAAGAGCAAGAACACAGCAGGGTGGCAGAAACAGCTGTCCAGGGCAGCAACGGCCACTGCCCTGTGCATCTCAGCAGTCTCTCGGCAGCAGCATGCCCCACCTGGGCACTCGGGGTCAGGTGCAGCTCTCACTGGCTGCCTCTGCTCCCAGCAGGGTGACCTCATTGCTTTTTATAAACTAATCTGTCTATGGCTAATGAAATTAGAAATGTAATCTAACTTTACTCTTCTTTTTTTTTAAGAAGTTTTTGCCTTAGGGTGCATGTGCTCGCAGTAGAGACAGACAGAGACAGTGAGAGGCAAAGTAAAAAACCACCCTGCAGGGGCGATGGCCACGCTGCAATCCCTTCTCCTCCATTCTCCTCCTGGGATCTTGGGCAAGCACACACACACGTCTGGCATGAATTTCAAGCCACAGGGTCTGGGACCTGAATGGTCGGTCATGTGGGAGTCCAGCGACATAACCACTGTGCCATCTGCTGGCTCCACCTCGTTCTAAATGATGTAAGTGGTCTCACCTACCTACCTACAGCCCACCTAAAATTCCGCTGAGCTGAAACCTAAAAGCTAAATCTACAGTACTTCGAAGTGCTGGAAACGTGTGCTGCAGCGTCCTCCTCCTACTCCTTTGGCTCGGTCGTTAAGGACAAGACGATGCTAAGGAGCAGGGAAGAGGAAGAAGATGGAGCTTTTATGGGTAGCATGTACTCATTTACACTCCACGTTTAGCCATGGGTCTGTCGGAAACTGCTAGAAACCAGACGTGAAGAAACACAAAAGGCGCAGTCTGAGTACACTCAGGAAAGTCCAGACAAGTCAGTTATCCTCATGACGAAATAATGGTGCAGAGGGAACCAGCAGTTAGCGTAATGGCTATGTCACTGGACTCCCACGTAGTCGACCGCGGTTCGTGTCCCGGACCCGGTGGCTTAAAACTCACGCCGGGCGCATGTGCGTGCGTGCCCAAGATCCCGAGAGGAGAATGGAGGAGAAGGGATTGCGGCGTGACCATCCCCCCTGGGGGGTGATTTCTCGCTTTCTGTCTCTATGTCTCTGTCTGTCTGGTGAGCGCACGCACCCTACAGTGAAAATCTCTCCAAAAAAAAAAAAAGAAATAATGGTGCAGAGAAAGACACCTTGGATTCCAAAACCCTTTCACCTCATCAGTATAAGACAGCAGAGGGACCAGCAGTTAGCGTAATGGCCATGTCGCTGGACTCCCATAGTCAACTGCAATTCGAGTCCCGGACCCGGAGGCTTAAACTCACGCCGGGCGCGTGTGCGTGCGTGCCCAAGATCCCGAGAGGAGAATGGAGGAGAAGGGATTGCAGCATGGCCAAACCCCCTGGGGGGTGATTTCTTGCTTTCTGTCTCTCTGACTCTTGGGGAGGGCACCCGACCTAAAGAAAAAAAAAAAAAAAAAAAAAAAAGACAGCAGTCAAATATCCCATAAATTTCCTTGTGTATTTTAAGCATTTTGAAGTTAGTCGTTGCTCTATTTTCCTTTGCTTTTCTTTCTTTTATGAGAAAGGTGAAAGGGAGCTAGAGAGAGGCACGTGGCAGGGTCGTGCTTTGTCACGCTCCTCCTGCCCCCGCCCAGTTAGCTAGGACTGCAGGCACTCACCACCACACACACTGTGCTCAGTGTGGCCTGGGCCTGAAGCACTCTCTCGGGAGGGTTACTGAGCAGTAGGAGCAGGGTGGGTTCTGGCGTGGGTTCTGTCAGCCCCAGCTCACGGCACCCACCGTCCTGCATATTCACGAAGGTCTCCGCCCGTGGGTCAGCCTCGCAGAGCACTGCATGTCCCACTGAGCTACACTGTGGCAGTTAGCATCTGATGGCGCACACCATGCTGCGAGCCAGCGGCTGGTGCCTAATACAGGGCTTGGGAAGTCAGCAGGTCAAAGTCCACTTTGACTTAAAAAAAAAACACACACATCAGCCTAGTCCAAATGGTCTCCTACACCAGCACTGTTCATTCAAGAGAAATCTTTCAGGCTCAACGGCTCATGTTTCACTGGAGCATTCTCTGCACTATTACTTGCCTCTCATCCAGCTTTCTGTTACACGATTACACAAAGTATCGACCCTTTCACCTGCGGAAAACCGTGAGCACTATGTCCAGTGAAAAGAAGGACGTCTGGTTTCACTGGCTCTAGCCAGGAATTCCTACTAATTACAGCTTATGCTCAAAAATATTCTTCCCTGGGCTTTAAATCTACAAATAATATGGTCAGGGTCCCATGAATTAAATACCCCACAAGCAAGGACTTTTTAAATATCAATTTGAAGATGCTCAAACATTCCTAAGTAGAAATAGCAATATACTATGATCACATTGTATGAAACACTTCATTTAATTTTATATACAAATTTTATTCTAAAATGTTTTATTTAATAAAGTGCAATCAATATGCCCTACTATATTACAGTTTTGTTTACTAGAGAGCATATACACTCGCCAGAGAAAGAGAAGAAAGCACCCTCCAATGGAGAATGGTCACCCCACATCCCTTTTCCTCTGTCTCTCCTTCCTTTCAAGATTTTGGGCATGCCAAAAATCTCAAGCTGCCAGTCCAGGACTCAAACCACCCAGGCAGCCCATGCAGGATAGGATCTGGCTGCCTCAACCATCAGGCCACGGCCGACCACCAGTTCTATGCTGTTTTAAACTACTAAAAATCTCGATGAATTCCTAATTTGGTCATTCTAATCCACCTCATCATTTAAGAGAGCAGGAAATAAACATTCTACTATTTATTAAAAAAGAAAAAAAAAAAAAAAAGGCAGAAAACAAACATGGAGAGACAGCTGGTGGCACAATACTCGGCTTATGCAGAAAGGCCCCAGGTTCATGCCGAGACCTCCTTGTGCACAGCACGCATTCCAGATGCATGCCAGGGAACTGGGCGGGCTGCAGGTGGGGGTGAAAATCACTGCACGAAGACCTTGTCGGGGCGAGTATCTGTTCCTCTCCCACATAGAGGAATTAAATTTTTAAAATTTTTCTTAGCGATTTCTGCTATAGGGCATGTATACTTGCTAGAGGGGTAAGACGGAAAGCAAGAAATCACCCCCCAGGGGGATGGCCATGCCACAATCCCTTCTCCTCCATTCTCCTCTCAGGACCTTGGGCACACATGCACACATGGCCAGCATAAGTTTTACACCGCCGGGTGTGGGCCTGGACAGCGGACAACTACGTGAGAGTCCAGTGACGTAACCATTATGCCATCTGCTGGTCTCTAAAATAAATAATTTCTTTTTTCTTAAGAAAAGGATTTTGGGACCAGCAGGTGGCACAGTAGTTAAGGTGCTGGACACTCCGACATGGTCAACCATGGTTCATGTCCTGGACTAGTGGCTTGCTCTCTCACTTTCTCTCCGTCTCTCTCTCGCTTTCTCTGTACGTATCTCTCTCTGGTTCAATTAAAATAAAGAATGAATAAATAAAATTAAATAAATATTTACAAAGAAAAGAATGGTTTTATTTATTTATTATTATTATTTTTCACATGAATTTTGCTAGACAAGAACAGAGAGTAAGAATGACAAAGCCAGGTCCAGGACTCGAACTGTGGTTGACCATGTGGGAATTCCAGTGCCTTAACCACGCCACCTGCTGGTCCCGAAATAAATCAATTTCTTTTTCCTTTTTTTTTTTTGGAGAGGTTTTTGCTTTAGGGCGCGTGCGCTTGCCAGACAGAGACAGACAGAGAGACAGAAAGCCAGAAATCACCCCTCAGAGGGGATGGCCACGCTACAATCCCTTCTCCTCCATTCTCCTCTCGGGATGGATCTTGGGCGCACACGTACACGAGCCCGGCCTGAGTTTTAAGCCACCGAGTCCGGGACGCAAACCGCAGTCGACTACGTGGGAGTCCAGCGACATAGCCATTATGCTAACTGCTGGTCCCAATATATCCATTTTTAAAAAGAAAAAGAAACACAGGACCAGCAATTAGCATAATGGCTATGTCACTGGATTCCCATGTAGTCGACTATGGTTCGAGGCCCGGACCTGGTGGCTTTAACTCACACCGGGCATGTGTGCGTGCACGCCCAAGATCCCAAGGAGAAGAGATTGTGGTATGGCCATCCCCCCGGGGGGTGATTTCTCACTTTCTGTCTCTCTGTTGAGCGCATGAGCCCTATAGCAAAAACCTCTCCAAAAAAAAGAAAAAAAGAAAAAAAGAAAAAGTAAAAGAAACACGAAACTTTCAAACGATTCAGAAAAAATACATGTATATATACATCCAGAAAAAACGGTAAAGAAAATGTATAAAATGTTAACAACTGGGTATTCTGAGAAAAGAGAAAATACAAGTTCCTCTTTTTTGTTTTTTTGCCGTACACTGCATGTGCTCGCCAAAGAGACAGAAAGTGAGAAATCACCCCCCCGGGGGGAGGATGGCCACGCTGTAATCCTCCTTCTCCATTCCCCTCAGGACCTTGGGCATTCACGTTCACATGCCCAGCATGAATTTCAAGCCACAGGGCCCAGAACTCAAATAGGGGTCAGCCGCACAGGAGTCCAGTGCCTAACCCACTATACCACCTGCTGGCCCCAATACAAGTTCTCTGTATTATGCTCACTAGTTTTTACTTTGAAATAACTTCAAACTCAGTTATCAGAAAACCTTGTCAAATGGCGGAGAAAATGAAATACACTGGTCATCAAGGGGAGCAGCTCCTGACAGTCATAAGCATGGGGGGCTGCTGTGCCCAGACTGTGCAGCCTCCGCGTCAGCCCAGCCCCCAGCAACAGCACCTTCAGAGTGCACACCTTGCTGAGCCTGAAGTATCTACTCTCCCGTCCTGCGGTTCGTCATACCGTACGTTAATGTCACAGCATTCACAGGTACACGTGTATGATGCAGAAACAAATGTTCAGGGATGAAGGTGCGACGAGCCCAGCAGGGACTGCAGCATTGCTGGACTCACCCTAGAGAGCGACTTCTCACTTTCCCTCTCAGCCTCTCTCTTTCCAGCGAGCGCCCACGCCTATGGCAAAAACTTTTATAAGGAGGGTCAGCAGATGGTGTGGTTAGGGCACTGGACTCCCACTTGGCCAAACATGGTTCAAGTCCTCAACCCGGTGGCTTGAAACTCGTGCCAGGCATGTATGTGTCTGTGCCCAAAAATCCAAAAAGGAGACTAGAGAAGGGACTGCAGGGTAGCCATCCCCACTGGGTGGTAATTTCTTGCTTTTTGTCTGTTTCTGTCTCTCTGCTGAACACACGTACCCTAAAGCAAAAATATCTCAAAAAAATAAAAGAAAATCAGTAAGTAGTACTAGATTTTTCTCCCTACAAAATCAAAGAGAGAACAAAACTTACAGAATTTAAAGAAAATAAAGCATAACCAAACATTTCAATACTAACCCAAACTATAAACCAAAATACCAACTGCAAGAACGAGATTACATTCTCACAAATGCAGACAATATCCCACCTACAAAATAAAAACTCCGCGAAACAGTATTCTGGCCAAGAGATGTGATAAGGAGCAAGAAAGGAAAAAGACTTGGAAAAGCAGAAGGTAGGGAACTGCAGCACAGTGACGTCTTCATGACTGCTGCAGTGGTTAAAACATTAAATAACTCCTGGGGCCAGCAGTTAGTGTAATGGCTATGTCGCTGGACTCCCACGTAGTCGACCGCAGTTCGCGTCCTGGACCCGGTGGCTTATAACTCACGCAGGGTGCGTGTGCGTGCGTGCCCAAGATCCCGAGAGGAGAATGGAGGAGAAGGGATTGCGGATTGACCATCCCCCCTGGGGGTGATTTCTCATTTTCTGTCTCTATGTCTCTTTTGTCTGTCTGGCAAGCGCACGCGCCCTATAGTGAAAATCTCTCCCAAAAAAGAAAAAAAAACAAACG